TTTCTACAAACCTTGAGATCAACCTGGCTTTGTGTGAAAATGATAATTATAGCTCAATTAACATGGCCCTTGATTCTCAAACCAATGCGATGGCTGGAAAGTACAAATCTTGGCCAATGCGATGTCAGTTATCCTGACAAGGTGGAATAACGCACATTGTGATAAGTTTGTACAAAGCTGACACTTGCTCGATTGGTTTTATAGTTGACATACGTTCAGTTTATTAAAGCAGATTACCCTCTCTTGGAATAATTCGATGCAAAGGTTGATTGAATGTCAGGAATAAGTGCTCTCTGAAACCGATAAACAGTGGATGAAGTACCGATATTATCAGCAACAAGGAATTGAAAATGAATCTCTTACTCTATTTCACCTTCAGAAAGAAACGAAAATGCAAGAATTTGTTCATCCTGTTAGTTAATTTGTGCGAGTAGCAATCATGTACAATTCAAATTTTTGCCAATTTTATAATTTGCAATCAGGTAAATAGGAGTGAGGCAACTTTAAAATTGTACAATCCGAGATGTAATGCACCTCCTGGTGTCAGGGAACTTATAAATGGCTTGTGAAATGTGGCATTGAAGGGATAAATGAAGGCGGAGTTTCGCTTACTGCAGCTGACATACTGTGCAAATAACCCAAACTCCCTTTTTCCAACTAATTTGAAGGTCTGAAGGGAAAAGCATGATAAATCATAGTTCAGGTTCACACGAGGAATCTGCATTCTTGAAGAGAGCATTCACCACCTCTCTTGCTTTCCTCTCCCTCCGAAAACAGTGATTGTGTTGAAAGATGTTAATCTGCATTTTTAAATTATATTCTGACAAAAGTACTAACTGATTATTTTTTCGACCAGTTGGAGAAAGTAATCAAAATAAAAAATTGTTTTATGTCACGATGCTTGCCTCCATCTCCTAACCAATTCTCCAAAGAGTTGAAAAAAAAATAGGAATTAGTGCACTCGAATTTTTGAAAATCTAAACCCTTTCCTCAGAGCGTAATTAAGTTACTCAACATTTTGGCTTCCATTTGTAATAATAGTTATTTCCCGCGGATCATTAAGTCCTTTAATCGCAAGTTTAATTTTACTTGAAGTCCAATTGAGATGCACATGTTTTCAAACAGCGAGAGTCCGTCTTATGGTGGCCTAGTATTCCAACTCCATAAATTGAACTCCCAGATTTATGCTTGAAACTCTACTCCTATATTTATGGTCCGGGGTTTGCGATAGACTTACCTCCACGTGGTGCACCCTGGCAACGTATACTCATACGGCAAAATAGTCTATTAACCGGCATTTGACTTCTGACTCCAAACTACCACGACCCCCCTGGTTGTCATATTCGACCCCTTCCACAGTGCTCACCTTACCTTTTTCTCTACCTTTGTGTTTGTCTCTTACATCTTTGAAACACTCTTCTGTTCCCCCTCCCCTCTCGACTTTTTTCAATTTGATGTTCCTTCCTTTCTGTGAAGCCTGAAGTCAGCTAAAGGGCTAATGATAACCATCAAGACGCCTGCCATTTGATATAAATAAAGTTTTAGAACACAAAAATGTCGGTCGTTAAAGGGTTAAATCTGTCCCCCTAATTGGCTAGTTATTTTAAATTTTTAAACTATTTTAGTCTCCAAACTCTTCTAGAATGAATGAAGATGCCGATTAATTTAAGCCCTCTTATTTACTTCCCATATTGTCGTCATTTACCTTTGCAGATAATGTACCCTCTCTAAGTTAAGCGCTTTAAAGTGTTCTATTCGATCAACCGAATTTTCAAGGAGTCAGTTGAAACCATACGTTAAAACATTCCTTGTTCGAAAGACCATTTCTTTTAAACAAACTTCTATTATTTCACATGATTTTTCAAATTGAGTAAATGAGAAACTTTCCAAAGCAAATTCCGCTACAATGTATTTTGGGACATTGGCGATAGTTCTTAATAATAGAGACGCTCTCATTAGGGTTTCATCACATTTCTAAGCAAACAATAAAATTCTCAGGTGGGTTTACTATTACAGCGTGTAAAATTGGCAAAATTTCACTGGAAAGTCATTCTAACTGACACAAGTTTAACTCGTACTAAACTGTCCTAGTTTTTGCGCATAGATAAAATTCACTTTTTAGAGAAGACGAGTTATTTATAAATTTAATAAAACTAAAAATCATATTGGAATAAAAATATTTTATTAGCACCAAAATCAAATATTATAATGATTATAATTATTTAGATAAATATCATTTCCCACGTTTGGAAAGGTTACAGTATTTTTGAAGAATTTCCAATTTTTAACACAAAAATCTCTTCAATTTAATAAATTAATTAATCTTGTTAAGTGAAGTTACAAAAATATTAATAATGACTCAAGTTAATTCGATGATACCTGATTTTATAAGCCCTTTAAAAAGATGATCACATTCGAATACTATTTTAAAGAATTGCAGTTGTTTACTATATTTATTTAAAAATATTTATATTCATTATTTTCGAAATAGGTTGCATTAATTTTGAACATGAAGGCACTTTCTCCAGCCCTGGCGTCTTATTAATCGAGTAAAACGTTTTACCTGCATAGGACTTTGGTGCCATGTCACCATACCCCACTGTGGTCATAGTAACGATTGCCCACCAGAGACCAATGGGAATCGAGGTGAAGTCATTTTTTGGCGAGGGTGAGAATCTCTCCGCGTAGAAGACCAGCGCCGCAAAGAGGACAATGAACACCATGAGAAAAAACACCAACAGTGATAACTCCTTTGCACTTGCTTTGAATGTGAGAATAAGTATTTTCAGTCCGGAGATATAGCGAGTGAGTTTAAACAACCGCATGACTCTAACAATGCTGAACAATTCTAACGCGCATTTTGCGAAGGCGGGAGGTGGATGAGGATACTGTTGGAAAGCGACTAAGACAAACATTTCGGTGTAGAAGCTGATTACTGCAGCTATTTCAATAAGATTTAAGGGGGATCGGAGAAATCTGATTATGGAGTCTGTTACAATCAATCGAATGAGGAATTCAATGAGAAACCATACATTACAAACCAAGTCAATGTAAAGAAATGATGAATGGTAGATAAAACTGGGTGGATCCGTGGAAACGACACTGAAGTCCTGCGACACAGGACCTGGGTATGAAAGAAATGAGGAATTCAGTGAGATATTGTAATACGGTCCAGTGGAAATTTGCAAAGACGGAACGGTATAGGAGGGAGAAGTTTTGAAACAGTATGCCTCAATGGAAAGAATCACGCAAATAATAGAAAGCAGCGCGACACACTAAAATGAAAAAAGTAATGAAATCATTCGAGTGGGAAAGAGAAAGTAAGGAGGAAGTTTAAGTTAAGTTGGTTGAAGTTTCATTAAATTTAACTCTAACTTAAACAAAGCTGCAGAAAACGAAAGCACACCTATGTATCTAGTTCAACTGCACAAACTTTGTCAGTGGTCATGAGATGTATATTTCATTCTTTAAATATGGAATATATCCAGACACTAGAAATGTCTCAGGAAGACCAGTTTCGTGAACTTTATTTTAAAATTTCAATAACCGATTAATTAATTCCCGTAGAAATTATTTCAGCAAGTGCCCCCTACTCAC